ACTCCGACATTTGGTTCTATTATAGTTTGACAATTTGCTAGTTTGATATCCTAGATGATGGGTGAGGTGTAGAGCCGAGTTCCTTTAGTTAGATTTGATGAGGTTTTTTGACATCTATAAATATTTTTGATATTGAAGCCTCCGATGTTTAAGAGCGTTGTTGAGACCAGGGCAGCGAAGGATTGGTAGGGGAGACTAGAGAATATATTAGACATAATGTAGTGTCCTTCTAAAAGAAAAGTATTGTTAGAAGTCTTTTTGGTAGATGGTGAGGTATAGCACTGGTGGATGGTGGAAGGAGAAGTTTCAGGGGAGGCTGAACTCTTTGATTAGTTGGGATGAGTTCTCTAATGTATTTCAACCAGGTTTGTACCACCTCCTACATGTCACTGTATGAATAATTTTTTCTTAGACCGCTTCGGGGATGCAGGGCAGTTATGAAGTATGAGATAGAGTTCACTTCTTTTGGATAAATAAGCTCCACAGCTGGTTAGCAATCCCCCGGAGAAGTGTTATATGTTTTTAAGGGGACTACAAGACAGTTTGAGATAACCTCTGATGCAATTTCACATTTTTTTTCAGCTTGTGGAGAGAGCTCATCTAATAGAGAATGGTTTGATAGCTACTTAGTAGTGGTGGACTGTTAGTATAAAGAGGTGTAGTGATGAGATATATTGTAGTGAATTTTTTGGTAAGAATAATAAATTTGTACTTAGAGAGTTTAGGAAAGGTGGATAATATATGTTATGGGTAATGTTGTTAGTTATGAGAATTTTATCAGTGGGACATCTATATACTGTAGTTGTGGCATATATCATTTCAGTGAATAGTATATGATGATTGGCTAGTGTTTCATATGTGAACATGTTATACACATGATGATAGAGTATCTACATGCAGGATTTGACTAACAATCTGAGTATAGACCTGAGAATTTTGTTAGAGGCTGTGGATCTAGTTTTTGACAGTTAACCCATTTGGTAGTGGTCAGAGAAAGTCTGGTAGTTATGTCGTATCAACTCTGGTTCAACCACATGTATATAGTTTAACTTAGCAGGAAGATCGCGATGCTCTAAATATTATGACAAATATGGTTAACTTTTTTAATCAGCCATGCCATATTTTATTCGATTATGGAGATAGTCACTCATTTATTTTTGAGCATTTTTTAAATTTATTGCACTTGACTTCAATTTTAATGTATATTTTTCTTTCAATTATATTACCGACTATAGATTGTATGATAGCCAATAGAGTTTGCTTTTGTGATATTGATATTTTGATAGGAAGTGAAGGGCACGTTAGTTTGATTTTATTACCTATTTTTTAATTTGTGTTTGATACTATTTTGGGTATGGACCGACTGAGTCGGTATGAGGCTCATATTGATTGTTTTAAGAAGCAACTTAAATTATTTTTTGCAGTGAGAGTTATGTATGTTAGGGTGTTAGAGGAGTTAGATCCTGTTTGATTTATACTGTGGAAGTAGATAAACTGTGGAAAAAGGGTTGTATGATATTTCTAACATCACTTCAAGATATGAATATATATTATAGTTCTCTTTCTAATATTTTAGTAGTACGAGATATTCCAAATATTTTTTTATGAGGAGTTTGTTAGTTTACCTCTGATCAAAGATATCTTATTTGGTTTATTTTTTGGTACGACCCTGATTTTCAAAGTTTCAAAGAGGATGGCATTTAAGGAGCTTCAAGAGTTGCTTGATTGATAATTCATTCATCCAAGTGTATCTCTATAGGGATCATATATTTTATTTGTGAAGAAAAAAGGTGGTGTGATGCTTATGTGCATTGACAACATAGAGTTAAATAAAATGACTATCAATGATAAGTATCCTCTATCGTGAATTGATATATTCAATTAACTTGTTGGATCTTCTGTATTCTCAAAGAATGATTTACGATCTGCTTATTATCATGTGAAGGTGGGAGAGGCTGATGTCATGAAGATAACTTTCAGTACGAGATACATATACACTATGAGGTTTTGGTCGTGTCTTTTAAGGTGGCGAACGTATCATTTGTCTTTATGGATATGATGAATAATATGTAAAGATTTTTTGGATCAATTTGTGTTTATTTTCATTGACAATATTCTGGTTTATTCTGCTTCTGAGAAAAACCATATCAAACATTTGAGGATTATTTTGGATACTCTGAGAAACATCATCTATATACAAAATTCTCTAGATGTGAGTTTTGACTGAGGATCATTTCTTTTTATGAGACATGTGGTGAGTAGTGCAGGTATTTTTATTGATCACCAAAAAGTTTAGGCAACCACTAATTTGCTTAATCCTACAACTGTATTTGAGGTACATAGTTTCTTGAGTGTAATTGGATATTATCAAACATTTCTGTGAAGGGTTACTATTTTATTTTATACCTTTGACGAGACTAACTCAAAAGTTAGTAGCTTGCTTGTTGTGATTTTTGCTTTGAAGATTTGGAGACACTATATGTACTAAGATGTTAGATTTTTATGAATCATCAAAGTTTTAAATATATATTCACATAGAAGGATTTGAACCTGAAGCAAAGAAGATGGCTTGAGTTGATCTAAGACTATCTGATTCTTCAATATTATCCTAATAAGGCTAATGTGGTGGAATATGCATTAAGCATAAAATCTTCTTGAGTTTTATTTCTTCAACTTACTTTTAATGAGTCTTTGATATGAGATATACATATATTATAATTAGAAGTGATTTTTTTTTATTATGAGATTTTGATATATTAGCTTATATGATTATTTAACCTTCATTGCAAGAAAATATTTATGAAGCTAATAAGTCATATGCATAATATCTAAAGTTGATTGATCATATCATTTTTGATAAGAAAGTAGAACTACGAGTTTCTAATTATGATATTATTTTCTAAAAGGATAGAATGTGGGTTCTTATTTTTTGAGATCGAAGGCGAGAGATTTTTCATGAAACTCATTATTCAGACTATACTATTTATCTAAGAAGAAATAAGATGTACGAAGATTTGAAGAATGATATAGCGACTTTTATTTCAAAGTGGGAGGCTTGTCGGTTAGTGAAGGCTAGGCATCAATGACTGGGTGATTTTTTGCATCCATTACATATTTCAGAGCAAAAATGGGAAGAGATGATGATGGATTTTGCTATGGGTTTTCTGAAATTGAGGTAGGGCATGATGCTATCCGGGTTGTAGTTGATGGACTAACAAAGTTAATGCATTTCATTTCGATTCGATAGATAAATCTAATTTATAGGTTAACATAGTGCCAAATATATTATTAGATTGCACGCCGTGTCGAATATGATCGTATTTGACCAGGATGACAAGTTTTTCTCTATATTATAGAGAGGTATTCAATGAGGATTGAGTACAAAGTTGCACTTTAGTACAACTATTTATCCCCATACATATGGACAGTTCAAAAGGATTATTCATGTACTAGTGGATCTTTTGAGACTAAATGTCATGTATTTTATGTGTAATTAGGAGGATCGGATCTCGTTGATAGAGTTTATGTATAACAAAAGTTATTAGTACAATATAGGTATAACTCCTTACAAAGCTCTATTTGGTAGGTAGTGCAGGACTACTATATTTTACTATATATGTTACTTTATTGATTGGAGAGGGTATGGTAGCTAGTAGGGTATGATTTTGTGACTTATATATATTTGATAGGAAGTGTAGGTATAGTCTAAAATTTTTATCAAATTTTTTGTTTGTTTTTGTTTTGGGTATGGATTGGTTGAGTTAATATGAGGCTCAAATTAATTATTTGAAGAAGTGACTCACCTTATTTTTGGGCAGTGAGTGCTGTCTTTTTTCAGAGAGTTAGATATATTTTTTCATGTCTAATCTATGCTATGAAAGTGGATAAACTATGAAAGAAATGTTGTATGGTATTTATGGTATCAGTTAGGGTTAACAATGTAGTCTCTTTGTGTTAACTCTCTGTTGTTTCGCCTTCTATTTTCAGGGCCTAGGAAATGGAAAGAGTAAATTGAACAGCAGTTTCAAGATTTGGTTTGTTTATGTATATATTCATTTATTTTGACTATTATACAGTCATGATTAGTTATTTATTCGGCTCTATTCCACATTCCTATTAGTAGCCATCTGATGTTGTGTAATTATTGTATATTTATTTTAGCGATGAAATGAAAAGAGAATTTATTGATGAGTTTATTTCAATACACTCGATATTATTAGTACCTTATGATATGTTAGTAGTTTTAAAGTTAACAAATATAATATATTATTTGAAAAGTTTACAAAACTTAAGTCCTGGGGTTGGCCTGCAACAAACCATCACGATATGACTTGTTCCATTTGTGGGTTTTGCCGGGTTGGGTTGTGACACTTAATGACCTTATAATTAAATGATAATGTGCTCATTGGATTTATCTCATAAACCCACAATATTTGATTATAAGCTCACAAGATTTGGAGACCATTTGGACCTTCAATTAATGACCCAAGGATTCCAAATATAGATCAAAATGCTTGATTGGAGTTATTTTGAAACGTTTGTGGTGTCTATGAATTTATCTTAATAAAATGTGTGGTTTGACTATAAACTTATTGAAATTGGAATTCAGATGACCTTAATTTTGATTCAAAAAATTCCATTATATAATAACTTTAGATTTGTGCTAATTAAGTACTTTTTTAGGAGAAATATCAATTATCATAAATAGATAATGCATCAAATCCTTAGAACTTATTAATTTACCAATTGAGTATTGATAAAAAGTATTCAAATTTATTTAATTTATTAATCAATAACAAACTATAATTAAGCCAAGCCAAAAATAATCTATAGAGCACATTCACTCTTTTGTAGCTATACTTACAATTTTTAGAACACTTTACATTATTACCCATTAAATAATAATAATTAAAAAAAAACAAAAACCTCTATTATTTATTTATTTTATCTTACAATGTCTTAAGCAAAGCAACTAATCCGAAATATATTGTACTTTGTTTTTCGACCTCCGTCTGAATTCGGCTAAATAGCAACCCTATTATGTAAACGCGCAAAACTCGTACTTCTACTCTCACGCCTGGTTTGATTCCTGTGTGTGTTCTTGTTCTGCTCTTCGCCTCATTTACCGTTCTCCCCTGAGATCTTGCCGCCTTAAAGGCGAGATCGAATATAAGGAAGCTCATCTAGCTATCTTGTACTCCTGCTGCCACCCGCGCTCGGCCGTCTCTCATGGGATTCCGCTAACGATTGCATCTTACCCTTGATTTGACGTCGAAGAACCGTATGACATGAAAGCACGCTTATTTTTTTTTCCTGTTTATACCTTGTTCAGTTTATCGGATTGAATAGTCTATCTTATTACGATGAGTTATATAGTTGAGATCTGAAATATTTATTAACTGCTTCTCTATTTGTTATTTATGCTTCTAGTGTAAATAGATCTAGTGTTATTGTTAGTTTTTGTTTTTGCGATTTATATACTATAGTTGGAAAGGTATAGAGGGTGGTTAGCGCCTGATTGTTGGTTCATATTTTCATATGGCAATTTGACTTTCAGAGTTGTGGATCATGTTTTGATTATATCCGTATAGTTGGAAATAAGTTGGATTTCGTACATTCCTACATGTTCTCATGTGTTAATAGATTGGTATGCAGCCTTTAGTAGGAGAGAAGTGGATGGTGAAGACAAGGTGGATATCATTTGAATTTTGCCATTGCGATGGTAGTCCAAAGAACATCTCGAACAATATGAAAAAACTGATAACCAATATCGTACAGATTGATAGTTTTTGTTTTTTAATAAATTGCACTGACTGTAACATAAAGTTCTTATGTTGACAAAACTTGTTATAATGTGTTTCAGTTCACCATACGACAATTTCAAATTGTTTTGAGAGGACTTATTATAGATAGCTCATAAATTTAGGAGTTTTGCTAAATGGAATGAATATTTTCCCATATGGCTCATCAAGTTTTTATAGAATTTGTGCATGGTATATTTACAGGTACTTGCTGAACAAGTCGTTTTACGGGGGTAATATTGCGGTTTCTCAGTTTGAAGAACTTATAAACAAAAACAAAATTATTATTAATTTCTTACCTTCATTAGATAAGGAGAAGCTAAGGTGGCCAACTCGTCATAATAGATGGGATGTTGTGGTTCAACTCTGACCAAAAAAGTTTTATATTGTAATATATATTTCTTGAACTCCTTTTAACAATAAGCACACTTGGTGAATAGACTTTGAGGACCAAATTTGAGCTAGAAATCTATTTTATGGCATATAGCAGATAGATTTAGGTTTTGCTGCTTTAACTTCTATATGTTATTGTATTGAATGCCAACTTGTTAGTCGACCATTGCAGAAAATGGAGAATGGGGAAATTGAGAGCGCTGATGAGGAAATGGCTTCTAGGGGAGGCAGACGCTACACAAGAGTTGTCTCCCATGAACAAGCAGCCATTCAAATGTCCCCCATTGAGATAATTTCTCCATCTGGGATCCTGCCAAAGTAAGCTATTTTAATAATTTATATCTTGTAAGATTTTATGCGGCTTCTGATTTTTCTGGCTGGAGTTATGTTCCAGTTATCCCTTTGTTGTTTACAATTGGTTTGAAACTTTGAATTGATATTATAAAATGGAAATTTTGTTGGGCGGTTGCCTTTATGATTTAAAATGCTCGTTTGATATTGCTGCTTTTTACTCTCACATTGTTATTCTGCGGTTCAAGCTTTATTGATCATCCTGATATTTCTTTCTGAAGTTTTGATATGAGATATTGTTTGAGGCTTATTTTAGTCAGGGTTTTCCTAGTTAATAGTTAATACTGAAGAAAAAGTACTGTTAGTATTGCTTCTGCGAGCCGCTTTGTTAATGACAGATTTTAGGATTGTACTGTGGACAGAACAGGACAAAATGAATACTTTCCAACCATTGCTGTTTGGAAGAACTTCCACCCATAAATTATCTACTGTGCTAGGTGATCCATGTATAGTTAGATATCCTTTGGCTTGGAAAAGCCTCTTTTCTCTTGGCATATTGTTCGAAAGAATTTTAGTACGCTTGTACATACACTTCTCGATCATCGCTTATATTTGTTGATTTTTTCCTATGAGAATGCGTGCTATCATATCACATAATTGGCCACTTCCACTTCTTTTGGGTGAGATACATGAACCAGGTGATAGCTTCATTCTTAATCCAAGGCAAAGTAGATTCTCTGTTGTTTTATTTGAACTTATCATTAATATACCCTATCTACCTAGAAATGATTAGTTCTATAGATAAGACAAAAGGGAGCAGAACTTTCTAATTATGGGATAGTCTTAAGGAGATTAGTTGGGGGAAGAAGTGAGAGAGGACGAGAAAACTCAAACTGAGGTATGATTCATTTCACTAAACATATTTCACTTTTTATATTGATTTCTCCTTTCTATTTCCGTTGTTAGATCTAGTTATAGTCAAGTATGACCTACTGAATAATTTCTATAGCATCAGATCTTCAGCGTGTGAAGATATTGAGCATATTTAATTGAATTAGGCTATCCTTTGAGATTGCTAATTGTAAATTAGAAGAAAAGGAACAGGATTTCTACCATAACTAGAACTTGCAAGGGGAAAGCTGGCCCATGTTAGAGGTGAGGTTATGAGATGGTGTACCACATATAATATATGAGGCTATACCATCAATAGGACAAGTCAAAGGTGAAGTCTATACTCAAGCTGAAATGTACATCATCAGTCCCATCCAAATTCAAACTCATGCTCAAAATCAAAGTCCAAATACGTGCATGGAGTACACAAATATCCAAGGAGGCTATGTGATAGCTTTTAAATCTAGAGATGCTTGATTTTAAATCCTAAAAATATTCTCTCCATAAAACAATGGGATTTATACACTAACTACAACTTGCAAGGGAAGAGTTGGCCAATCTTAGAGGCGAGGCTATGAGATGGTGCATCATCAAAAGGTTAAGTCAATAGGTAACTCTTGACTTAAGTCAGAACACTTGTGAGAAGTTGGATCTAAAATGAAACTTAAGGTCATGCTCAAAGTCCAAATGGGTGCATGAAGTACACAAAGTTCAGTTAACATAAATTACTCTAGTGATTGTTCTTTCCACTTATGGTGAAAATTTACTTGTTCTCCCTTGCTTGTTCAGTTCCCAGACCTTTTTTCCCTTATCTTTGTTGCAAACTTTCTCCATCACTTCAAATTAATAGTTCCACCCTTGTTTGGTTCCTAAATTCTTCCATTGCTAACAGCATTGCAATTCATTTTTCTCTTTGTAAATCATTTTGGTTTGAGTATTGAGTTCCATCATACTAAAAATAATGAGAAATGGACCGAATTTGTCCCTTAACTTTTTTTAAAGAACCAAAATAGTCACTTACTATGTAAAAATACCACTTTGGTTTCTGTTAGACTGGTCCATTGGACCGGTCCGCATGGGACCGGCCCAGGCGGATAGAGGCAGATGTTCCCTCTCTCCTGCATATGCCAATCAGATCGCAAGTTTCCACAGAACATTTTTGGAAGGTTTTTTGAGGGATTTGTGAGAGAAATTTGAATGTAGGGACTGTTTAGGGATTTCCTTTTGGATTGTATGCATTAAATAGTTTGTTTTCCTAGGGTTAGGGCATCTTGAATTTGGCTGAAATTTGAGATCTCTTAGGTTTAGGTTTTTGAGCTCTAGCGACATCTATAGATTTGGGAGAGATTGATCCTTCTCTCGAATTGAGGATCAACTGTATCTTGCTATTTTCCTTTTATATTTCATCAAATAATACAAATTATCTACTGTTTTCATGGTTTGATGTGGATTTTTGTGGAGAATTCTTGCTGTTTTCCAAAGATTGATAGGAAATACTTGAGATATACAAGTGTTTACTACCAGTTTCTTAAGAACCAAATTAATCATTTCATGGATCATTTAAGTCCCTATTTATAAGGTTAAGGGACTAAAATGAGATAGTCGGGGATCATTTTGGTCCTTAGTAAAGAGCCAATGGATCATTTTGGTTCGTATCGCTAAAAATAATTATCTTTCTATCTATTAACATGCCTTTTAGTTATCTTTGAAATAAAAATAGATTCTTGTTTTTTTTGGTGAACTAGTATGCTGTAGTTGAAATTGAATTAAAATTCTTAACCTTGTTTTACAAGCGATTGCGGCTTGCTTGGCTAGCACATGTGGTTGCCTGTTAATGTGTAGCAAAGAACTACAAATGCAACCGACTATTCTGGGTGTTTTTTGAACACACATGAAAGTGGGGAGGAAAAACTATGAAAATGTGATTTGCCGCTTGTTCAAATTAATTCAATAGACTTCTGCCCTTGGTTTCCTTCAAATTCCCAGCAAACAAAAGAAAACTTTTTTGTACATTAGAAATTTTATTTTATTCCTTCAAGGTGTAGATTAATCATGCCTTCTATCTTAATAATTTTTTTTGCTGTAAAATTTTGTTTCTCTTTATTTTTCGTGTTATGATTGAATACTTTTCCCACAGTGTTTCTTATTTGATGTGATGCATTGTAAAACTGCTTTATTAAAGTGTACATTTAAATTCATTGCCAAAATGAAAATTGTTCTTATTAACTATAGGCTATGGCACTGCTTTTTCTACCTCATATAATGTCCTCCTTACTGCCTTGTCTTTTCTAAGCACAGAGGTGTAGAATGTCATTTTGTTACACCCCAGTTTGACTTACCCCCTAACGGTCAATCTGGAGTATAACAGAGAAAGAAAATCTAAACCAGCTTCTTTTTACTAACACCCATTCTGAGCCTCTACTTTCATAATAGAGAGTAAAAATAAATCTATTTAGACTCTCCTACCTTGCGAACCTATCAAATTCCATAATTAATAATGGGAAGCATATAATGTCCCTTAATGAACATCAAATATAATTGAAGTAAATACAGAACGCTACTAAAATTTTTAAAATTTACTCACATGCCCAAAAGTTTGTATATCTAGCATTCAGATGTTGTTTTAGATCTCTTTGTACACTCAAAATATATTTACACCAAAAGAACGGTCACCTCTTTTTATTGTCCTAAGGGCTCCATCCATTTTCCTGTAGTACAACCACTGCTAATAAGCTAGACTCAATGAAATACATAAGCAATTTATAAATAATAATAATAAACAATTAAGAAATACTTAATAATGCTAACATAGTTAAGACACATTGAAATATCATATTAAGCCTAAAAAGTGCCTAGCAATATTATTCATCTTGTCAAAACTGTTCAACACTTTTAAACAAGTCATATGATGAATATAAATTTTTGTACCTTTTTAGCATTCCAATTCAAAGTTGGGTTCAACTTCTCAACTTTTAGAATGGAAGCTGTTCTCTCATTCAGGGTTGAGTTCAATTTCTCAACTTCTAGAATTGAGAGTGTAGGCTTATCTTGTCGGATCTTTCGCTTTTACTTGTGCGGGCTTATTCCCCACATATAACTTATTTCACTTTCCATATAGTCATCCTTTTTAGCCCTAATGACATATGCTTTGATGACATAACTACGCTTTAGCTACCTTTTTGTAGCCTGCTTCCCTTTAGCTGTCCTTCAGATGCACTTTTTTGCTGCTACCCTTTAGCTGTCTTTTTTGCTGCTGCGCTTTTGCTGCCCTTTTGCTGCTGCGCTTTTGTTGCCCTTTTGCTGCTGTGCTTTTGTTGCCCTTTTGCTGCTCTTTTTGCTGCTGCGCTTTAGCTGTCCTTTTGCTGCCTTTTTGCTGCTGCGCTTTACCTGCGCTTTGGCTGCCCTTTTTGCTCATTCATTAGTTTATGAATATTTATCATTTTATGTTTACGAAATCATTAACATTAATAAAGATTATTCTCTGCATAAACAATTTCATACATATTCGTCCATGTTCATACAAAATAAACTAAAATAGATTGAAATACATGCTGTCATAAGCATAATAAAGATGAAGTGCAATAATAAAACATTTACTAATTCTTATAACCTCCTTGGGTATCTCACATCGTCTTGTAGAACAATGGGGTAAATTGGTTCACCTAAAGTATTATGATTCTTTCTCCTTTTGTATACTACTTTAATTAAACTATTCTTTATTCCATTCAAAATTCATCCCTCACATCCCTTTTCTTATTCTCCCTTTTTTTTATTTTCTGAGTTCTTTTTTTTTCTTCAAAACAGCAGCTTCACTTCCCCTTACAGCCTACAACTTGAGCTCCCTGGCCCTACCGCCTCTAGAGAATGTCGGGTAGGAAAAATGAAAACCAATGCAAAAGTTTTAGCTTAACTTTTATCATATAATACTAAACTAATACTAATGCTATGCCACAAATTTCCACTATTGCAATTTCTTCCACTCCCAGTGTTATGATTACATCCAACCTCTGCACATTGTTTTAAGGGGATTTGCTACAGTAATACATTTAAATAAATGGTTGTTTGGTCTTGCAATAAGTCATCATAACTACAGTTAATAAAATGTGAAATTGAAATGCCTATAATTCAGATGAAAATAGAAATATGTTATTGAGCTCCTTGTTTAAATATGGATATGATGTTAGTTTGAAGAAAACTCATGCTTACATTTGACAAAACTTTGGGTATTATACATTTTATCATGGTTTAACTGTTTCCATTTTGTATTTATGTAGAAAAGAAAAAGCAAACTTTCAGGCAAACAGCAATGGTAGCCAAGGGACTTCTAATGGTCAAGATGGGCAGGGTGAATTGCAAAAACAATCCAAGTTGGAGCTATTTGGTTTTGATTCTCTTGTCAATATATTGGGGCTCAAGAGGTACTGAAATGAGTTCACTTCAGTGTTTTCAAGCTTGAAATTGTCTGAGCTATTTAGTCTAATGGACACTCTAAACAATGAAACTATTACAGTATGACAGGGGAGCAAATTCCAGCACCTTCTAGCCCCAGTGAAGGCGAAGATGTAGCTATTACACTTGGTCGTCCTAAGGTATTATATCCGTTCTAATTCAAGTTACTGTAATCACAGGACTTTCTTGTTCTGCAAATTCTTTTATGTAGGTTGCACCCATCTCTATAAATATGCTGATATTCATCAATTTGTGTGGTATAATTGTATGTTCTGAAGTATAACATTTGATCAAAGATTGCATTTATCCATATAAATGCAAACAAATCCCCAAGGCACAAGTACTGGCTCTATGGGAATTTTTGTTGAATATACACTAATATCGTACGGACAAACATCTACTCATGAAAGACGCATAAAATTTGCCAGTTTAAACATCAGTTAGGGTTAGCGAGAAATGCCATTGGGCAAAGTCCGTTGTGTACTAGTTCAAGCGAGAGTACTGGTATTTATTTATGTTAGTCAAGGCTCAGAAAGCAGTAGTTGAAGCAACTTGCTTTTCAATCAAACTCGTCATTAGCTTGGCCTGCTGGTTGAGTTATCGCCCTTCTACTTCTTCATCCATGACCTTTAGCTACATGATATTATTGGTAAGCTCGAGTTTCAATTTTGTCTACTTACAAGGATATTAAGCACATTTAACTTTTAATTATTACATCGAACCCCAAAAGCAATGCCTCAATGTGGTCGTCTTTCATTGCTCTTTGGTTTCCCAAGTATCCTTTTCTAACACTAAAGAAGTTCCAAAACAGCGCAAGTTAATAGAAACTGGAACGTATGGAATGTGCAGGAATTGGGAACAACTTTAGGAAAAATTTGTTTGTTATCCATCCAATGATCAAGGTAACCAATTTAGTTTTCCTCTTTAATCTGCGTCCATTTAACGAAAGATGAAGCTCTAATATTTGAGGCACGTCTATCTATCTATCTATCATCTTCGTCTGAGAAAAATGATCATTATTTTGATAAGAAGAAAGGTGAAGCTCTAATTTTTGAGGCGCATCTATCTATCTATCATCATCTTCGTCTGAGCAAATAGATCATATATTGCATAGATAATAGAATAGCCATAGGGGTACTCCGGGATTATATCATGCAAGTTGAGTACATGATGATGCCAAAATTGACGTAACCCAATAAAATGATGGGGATGGATTGCACATTGATATCCATAATCATGTTTCCTTAGTGGTCAGCTCTCTAATTATTTGGCTACGTTTGCCTCCTATTTAGCTCAACCCTTTCACTCACTAGGAGAAGACTCACCTCTCTATGTAGTCTTGGTCAGAGATGGGCTATATTACAAGTTAAAGAGAAAAAACCACTCAAATTAAAAGAGAGGAGATGATCTTTATTGTATAAGTTAAGGATATCTTAAACTCAACCTTGGGGGGTGGTGCGAAGTGTTATATTTATATCATAGTTTAAAATTGCGCAATAAGAGGCACGTCTCTGCGTAATTTGCCCCCCCAAGAGCCTCATTGCTTAAGCAATTTTGAGACTTGGTGAGGCTTACGCCACATGGAACCTGAGGCGCGCCTCAAAGGCGCAATTGCGCAGTTTTTGGTGAGGCGTACGCCTTAGAAACATATTGTATATGCTGGTGTTGAGGGCTCGAACAGGGGGAGACATGTAATGACATCTTCATTCTCATGCCCATAAGATAACTGCCAGAAAAATATAATTTGAGGGTTAGACCAACGTGAAGAAGAAGGTTGCAAGCTCCTAAAAGACTGCTCATTGCATGAATCGTCAGTTATTATGGGATTTAAGAAGACATTGATGCATGCAATTTCACATCAAAGTCACAATACAAGCAATCTAATCGTTGTTTTGGGCTTGCATTGAAGAGAGGGGGGGGGGCATGGGGCATTTCTGAAAAAAAAACTCGAAAGGAATTTACAAGCATATCTTCGTAGAGTATATTGATTTTTCATAATACATAATTACATATAAACAGTAAAATGATTAATTGAATATGAATATAAAAATCAGCTCAAGCTAAGTTAAAGTTAGGCCCTTTTTAAATATTTCTTGCTTCGCCACTGGAGAAAATGTTATGTCTATTAATCTACGTAGAGTATATTTTCGTAGAGTATATTGATTTTTCATAATACATATAAACAGTAAAATGATTAATTGAATATGAATATAAAAATCAGCTCAAGCTAAGTTAAAGTTAGGCCCTTTTTAAATATTTCTTGCTTCGCCACTGGAGAAAGTGTTATGTCTATTAATCTAAATGTCTGATTAGGATGAAAATACTTTTTTTGCAAGTTAATGTGGGCATTATAACTTTTTATTTTGAAAAAAAATCAAACGTAAGACTTTTTTTATAGCTATCATACTCTAATATATTTGACTATAAGAAATTACTTTCCACCACCAATATTTTAAAAAAGGCAGCAAAATAAGCAATAGCGAAACAACGAGTGGCATGGATATGAAATACAAAGTAGTGAAAAAGCCATCCCACACAGACCCTAAGAGATAAGTGGGTAACATTGAAGATAATGAAGATTTGACATTCATAGATACAATTGGAAATGAATATGCCTCCACTGAAAACCCATGTAATGATGGGACATGATTGGATTTTAGATGTATTTTCTTATTTGTACTTTGGGAGTTCTGATAGACTTTAATTTGTAGTTTTGTGCTTTGAATTATGCTATGAGATGCATATATTGCATCTATTTTTTTTGTTTTCCAATAAGTTCACTTGTCTTTTAGATGTTTTTATTGTATCATAGACTATTCCTGTTATTTATCTGCTAGAATACTTAAATTCTCATTTACGCAATTCTTCATCCGTGAGGCTTACGCCTCACACCGCCTCGAGGCTTACGCCTCACCTCACGGACGAAAAATGCCTTGAGGCTTATTTACGCAATTTTAAACCTTGATTTATATTAAACCAAATCCTCATTTAATTATGACAAAGACCTCAAACTCTTGAAATTGAATATAACCTATCTTAAAATAGCCATATTAGGCCTTAATCTTCTTACAGGAACATATTTTTGCTCTTGTTTTAATACTCACTGCTAATTTAGGTATTGGGTGAAGACTGGCGGAGGAGGTCATGTTCACTTCACAAAAAATTCATGCTAAGAATTTGTTTAAGCAAATTTATTTTCATTTATGGTTTTTTTTTTCCACATAAAGCCGTGTCTATGGTGATTTGCCTTTGAAGATAGAGTGTGTTTTCTTTCTTTATGATTGACTTTAGTCTGAATAACGTCTCAATCAGTTCAATTTAAGTAACTAAATTCATATTAGGTTTTACTAGCTGCTGTTTTTTTTGGTATTAATGGTTTCCTGCCAGTATAATTAATGCTTGTGCTATTTTGTAGCCCTAGTGGCGAGGTACCTGTGCCATTCGGTCAATGATGGTTTCATGGTTTCTATTCAGCGTTGCATGTGCTCCTGTTTTTAGTTTTTGAGCGCTATTCACTAGAGGATATTTTGTGCATGCTCATGTAGTGGGATTTGAACGTTTTCACTCTTGTAGGTGGGCAATCGTAACATAAGCATTCAGTTGCTTTGAAGGATTCAAAACGGTTTATGGTGGCTTTGTATTCTAAGCTATCAATTCAAATTCAGAATTTAAATCGATTCTTAAGAGGTAGCCAAACTAAGAAACTAAATGCTCAGAAATAAACTATTTGTGGCCTATGTATAGCTTTTACTTTGATAAAATTTCATATTCCAAATTTCAATCTTATGCATGCATATTTGATGCATAATTCTTTCATGTAGTGACACTGATGGTGATTAAAATAGGCTAGTAAACTTTTACAAGATTGGAAACTTTCAATAACTCTATAAAACTACTTTTTTAACTATATAAAACTACTTGCTAATGACTTTAAACAGAGAAAGAAATTGGATTTACTGACTTTGTAAGACTACAAAACTACAAGCCTAGCTTCCCAAGGGATTCTTGTGGAAGTGTGAAGAATTCTGCACCAAGAAATGAATATTTGAGCCAAAGAAAGCTGTTGTACTTTTTCAGAATTTGTCAATTTCAGCTTCCACGGAGGTGTGCAGGAATCTTTTAGGTTCTAGTTGTAATGGCTAATGCCTTGCCCGGATTTCTGAAGCCTACAGTATCAAACTGTTGGAAAAATCCAGAAGTCCTACAAATATTCCTTGGAGAAATAGGTTGTTCAATAATAAGAGAACAATTTACTGGCGATTAAACAACCGAAAACCTAAATTTGAGGCTCTTCTTGGATCAAGAAAAGGGTTTCTTATAGCCAAAGGATGTTGAGATGGTTCCAATGCAAAAATTTCTGTGCGGTGCTCAACAACTGAAACTGATGAGGACATCGATTAGATGTTCAAACATGTGTATCGCCGGAAGAATCGCAGATCGACGACCACGATTCAGAGTTTATATTTTTAAATATTTATGCATTTTATTTTCTTTGAGTATTCCTGTTGTACCCCTATTATGAGTTGAGTCATGTTGTAGCTCTGAGGTCAATTTAGTCTTTGTTTCTTCTTTTATGTTGAGACCTATATATAGGTCATTTCTATTGTAATGAGAATAATGAATATTTTGAATGAAATTTTGTTGTTTGTCTTCTTCTTCATCTTGTGTGTGCACTAGAGAGAAGAGAGAGAGCCCGAGGTAAGGGCGAGCGCAATACCCACCAGTCATTGGAAGAGTCCGTGACTCGTGGTCTACCTTCTTCATCTCCGTTCATCTTTTCTTCCCTCCACCAGCCCTAGCTTTTCCCCAAGCCGCCGGCCACGTATTCTTCCCCTTATCCCTCACATCCTTTCACCCACTAGCTTCCCCACTTCACATCCAACCTCCACCAAAACCACCTACACCCGACGACAAGCTCTTCCCCTTCCCTTGACTGCCGGCCATCATCCTTGATCTTAGTCGTTATGATGAATTCATTATTCATAATGACTCTCCCATAATCTAGATCTTGTATTAAAGAAGAGAGTTAATGAATTTTGAAATTTAAATTTCGAAATTAAAAAACTTTCCTTATTTGCAAAGTCTAAATAAGAAAGTTTTTCAAATTCAAAATTCAAACGGAATTTGATTGGATGACTCATTATTTCCCCCCACAAGTTTCAAACTCATTTGAAAAGTGATTAAATCTCCCTAACCCCTCCTCCCCCTCTCACATGCCGCCGGCCCTACTAGGGTGGAATCCCCTTTAATGCTACTTTAATGCATTCAATACCCTTGATTCAAAATCCAAATTCAAATTAACCTCCCTCCAAATTTACTCAAATCTGAAATTAACTTCAGATTTTGAATAAATCTCTTCAACACTCCATCCTAACCTAATCTCCCCAAACCCTAGCCGCCTCCACCATCTCTATAGCCGACCCCTCCCCTCTTTCCCTTCCCCACTTTGGCCGGTCCTCTCCTTGCTCCCCCTTGGGAAGTTTGAAGCCAAGAGAAGAAGAAGACAACGCCTTCCCTCCTCCACCTCCACCAATTCCGGCTACCTCCCTGTGGACAAAGACCTCCGGCACCTTCTTCCTTGTGGCGATCTTGATTCTAGTGTGGAAGATCTTCTCTCGCTAAAGCCTAGTGTAGCCGAGTGATCGATCCCCGAGGTGAAAACTCTCATTATTAAATCGTGGATTGTTGATTAAGAGCTCTTAGTATTGCTACTATCTTTGTTTATCTCTGAGATTTGGTTAATCTACATGTACTCCTTCGACTAAGCAAGTGGAAAACTAAGATTCTTTAACGAATTTGCTTGTTATTACAATAAATTATTGATTTGGATTACATTGCCAATTACTCTTAAATTTCTTAATAAGCTCCTGTGCATTTGGTTTCACATCATCTTGGTATCAGAGCATGGCTAGCATGCATTACTTGTGCTAGATGCATCCTAGGAGCCTAAATTAACTTGTCCTTAGTTGTTTGCATGCATAATATCATCTAGATAATTTTATTTTATGTTTTCCATTTGCTGTCCTGAAAATTCTGCATTAGTTTCTTCATTTTACATAAGCATATTTTATTGTTTAAGTGCTGCCATCCTCACCGTAACATCCATAATAGTCTAGGTCACTTAGACAATTGACTTAACTTGCTGTCCACTAAATTTCTGCACCTAGTAGTAGTCGGGTGAGTTTTAGGTAGTGATCACTTGCTGTCCACACTCTAGAGTCCATCCAAATCGCTTAGATAACTGCGTCCTTCATATTAGTTTGCTGTCCTGATTTTTCCTGCTGCTGTTGGTACCTTTTTAGTGAGCAAACCAGTGTGATTAGCTGCTGTCCTTGAACTAGGAACTCTCCCTAGTGTCCCCTAGCACTCAACCATGGATCCGGAACACATTCAAGCAACCTTAGACCCGATTGTGGGCCAATTGGGAATGGTTACACACCAGATTAGGAACACCCAAACGGACTTAGCTGAGTTTAGGCGCCAAATTTTGAGGAAGTCATATTCTATGCGGCACGATTACCTAATTTTGAGGAAGTCATATTCTTGTATTGACACTAGGCTTGTATCTTCTTCACCTTAGTGATCTATTCATTTTATCTATTTTCTTTTAAATATTTTGTTATTTACTTGTACAGTTCTTAATTTGGTCGAAATTGACATGACTATTATTTCAATTGTGCATGTTAAAAATAAAATTGCTTGCTGATTTTACGTGGTTCAAAATTTTTGTCTATTTCTTTAATTTATTTGATTGTGAAATAATTATTTTGGTTTAAATTATCTTATTTTTGGGTTTGCATTTATATGGTTGTTCTTGTGTTTTTTGTTTTTAAAGCTAATGAAACAATGGTTGTTCTTAAACCTAAGCATAAATCTAAATTTGCAAAAGAATCTATTGCGTCCATTGAAGTGAAATATTCCTTGCATGTTCTGATTCAGAATGAATTTGAGAAAGAGAGCATGCATGAATGTGTGATTTGTGGCTTAGTAGCTTTTGCGTTAAATGATGTTGCACATAAGATTATGGCTAAAAAAAAAAAAAAAAAAAAAAGATTATGGCTATTATCCTGACGAGTTTCTTAAAGAATTACAATCACTTTTGATTATACAACTTGTCATTGATTTGATTGGAACATCATTAACTTGTTTGTTTTGCTATGAGAAGAATCTAATTGAACATGCCTAGCTGAAGAAACAAGTTGATTAATTCCTAACAGGGATCTATTAGAGAGACTATGCATCCTTGTGCTAACCCAACTTTGGTTACGCCTAAGAAAGATGGGAGTTGGCATGTTATTTGGTTAGGAGAGCTATTAATAAAATCACCGCTAATTGATTTTTTACACTTTCTTTGATGATGATTTGATTTATAGCAATACACTTGCATGATAAATTTTCATGACTATTGTTTATCTTTCTTCTTTATTTTTTTTATTACTCACTCTTTCTTCATTTTTAGACGATTTTGTTTACTGAATTTAGGTGAGAGTATTGCAGGACAAATCATTCTTGACAGATAATTTTTTATATATGCAGGAAACTGCTCCCAAACTGGGGACTATGATGGGCGTTTTTGTCCCTTGTTTGCAAAACATCCTGGGCATTATCTACTACATTCGATTTTCCTGGTAATTTCATCTTGCTATCAATGTCACTTTCTGAAAGTGTTTGGAATCCTAATATTTCTTTCTTCTTTAGATACTTGGATAAAATTTAATCGATTGTAAATATTGCTACTATAGAATATGTTCACGTACTAACAGCTAAGAAGTTTTCCTTTTACTAGATATGTAGATGGAGTATGTTTAGTCCTTGTTTTGTTCTTTTTTTTTTTTCCTTTTTTGGCGAGGGCAAAATACCTAGTCACTACTTTCTTTTTACTCATGTAAAAGTACTGCTAGTGCTTTGGTTTGAATTGGTAACTAATGTAACTATGCTGCTAGTTCCTTGCAAGCCGCTTCCAAGAACTATAATTGCCTGATGGAGATGATGATGTTTTGCACCCACTATTTTCTTACAAACCTTTTTGTGAGTGTTGATCTCTAGCCGGCTCAGACTACCTTACTCACACATAATCTCACTACCCACTCATACATGATCTCACAATGGTCCACAACCTCACTCATGATCTCACAACCGCCCACTACCTCACTCACACATGATATCACTACCCCACTCACACATGATCTCACAACCGCCCACTTCCCCACTCACACATGATCGCACTATCCACTCACACGTGATCTCACAACCGCCCACTACCCTCTCTCCCATGACACATAATTCCTGCTCCGCCCACTCTCTCCTCATTCGAACTCAACTCTTACACACCGGAAGCTTTGATACGGTTGACTGAAGCCACCAAAGAAAACTAGAGCTATAAGTTTGACAGAAGATGCAAGGATTATAAAAACGATATGACAAGAAGTTATTGAAAATATTCAACTAGATGCAGTTAAACAATTTCTTTATGAGGAGGGAAGGTTGAATTCTGTCTGCCTAGGTTCTGCACCTATTGTGCAACTGGACTTTGGGTCACCTGATAGCAAATCCAAAGCTGAAAAATTCAGAGAACATATTTTGCAAGTGTTTGCATATGTTCTTAATGCCACTGATACTTGAAATCAGATGCAACCCTCAGATAGATGTTTGACAAGATGTTCAAATTACCGATGATATGCATGATCTCAAGGCTGTTTCTTCTAGGATGATCAATATTCAACGATCAAATTCTAATCACACCTCTCACTGCCAACAGTCTAAAAACCTTCTGAGGTGGATGCCCAAAAAAAAGCTATAAAATGAAGTGGCTTGAGCATTGTTGGAGAGCTACAGTTTAATTCTCTTGCTATGGGAAGAGATTGCAAGGGAAAATAGTCAGAATGTGCATGAGTAGAAGAAGGATCTTGATGAGGACATAGATCCAAGGTTCAAACATGTGTATCGCCGGAAGCATCGCAGATTGATGGCCACGATTCAGAGCTTATATTTCTAGTTGTTTACGCATTTTATTTTTATGTTTTCCTATTGTACCCTTATGTTGAGTTGAGTCATGTTGGGGCCCTGAGGGAAATTTAGTCTTTATTTCTTCTTGTATGCTTGAGACCTATATATATGGGTCTTTTCTCTTGTAATAGCTAATGAATATTTGAATGAAAAATTTGTGTGTTTTTACTTCTTCTTCTTGCATGATAGCTTGAGAAGGGAGATAGCTCAAGGGGAGCAAATCGCAAGGCCCACCAGTCGTTGGAAGAGTCCGCGGCTCGTGGTTAGGTTTTCTATCTTCTCCTTCGTATTCACCTCCATCTTCTTTCTCCTCCACCACAAGAAGACCCCTTCCTCTCACCCAAACCCGTCGGCCATCTCCCTCCTCCTCCATTAGCCGCCGGCCATCCATGGCTTTCCCCCTTGGTGATGCCATTAATCCTCCTAGTGGTTCCTTGATTGTTGCCTAACAATAATTAAGGGAGTTACTACTTTTGAATTTCAAAATTTGAAATTCAAAACTTTCCTTATTTGAAAGTTTCCAAAAATGGAAGGTTTTGAATGATTCACTCCAAATCTCATGACATGTGGAATTGATAACTTTCATCCTAGGTGGCATCGACCCAATTGGAAAGTGCATACTCTCTCCCTAAATTCCCTCTCCTCCTCCTCATCTTGCCGCCGGCCCTAG